TAATTTAATTTTAATTTAAAAAATTGCCTTTGCTTGTATTTCCTATGTAGTCATATGCTTCTTTTCACTAATTTTTTCTGATGCTCTTACTGCATTTACAAGCACTATATATCTGGAGTTAGAAGTTGTTGTGCATAGAAGACCTAAAAAAACTAAGCAAAAACAGCAAACATATGGTAGACTGAGACCAGTATGACGCTGGATGTCTTGTGCTGGTAGCCAGAACAGTTACTGAACCTCATTCTGGAATTTCCCTTGTACATACGTGTCAGAGTTTGCAAACTGAAATTCATGAGTATGGGGCTATACAGTTGTCCTAAGCAGACAATGGTGGCAATGCTCATAGGGGTTCTTATTGCTACTGGTTATAACTGAACACCTACCAGGTCTCCAAAGGAGTGACTTATATCCAAGAATTCTTTCACCAAGTACACAAATCGGGAAGTCCTAATTTATTAGTTAACAGGAGTGTTTGAAATGTCACCCCTGGGGTTTACTTTTAATCCTTTAATATTTACACTAGAAAAACTAATGATATTGGAAGGAACCATTATTCAAGTTTTAATTGAAAGCAGCAATGGCAGTCTATACTAGCTAGCACTACTGGTTAAATAAGTAAACCAAACAACAGATTTTTTTTCCCCGGGATAGGTTTGATTTATACTAGGAAATAGATACAGATTCTTCTTTGCTAAGGGCCAAGGTAGGTATGAGAGAGTTGCATTTAATTAGGACTTATCTAGTAAATTGTAAATATGTTAGTAAAAATGAGTAAGTGAAAATTACTTGTGCATCTGCTTTTTGTTTTTTATTTACATAGACTCTTAACATTTTAAAATGCTTAAAATTACCAAGAATTTTCAATAGATGATATGTGGAAGATGATGAGAAAGCAAGTGAGTTGTTCATATCATTTCTAAATATTAGAGGTACAGTCATGATAAATATTGTATTTTCAGCATATGCACAATCTCAGTCCAGTCACCCATAATTTAAATCTCCACATCCTCATGCATAGATCATCAGGAGCTGGGTAGCAATTGACTTGCCTTGAGATACCGGAGCTCTACATACAGAAACCAATATCCCTTTGAGGTAGACTGTTCATTGTTCCTGTGTCTTCATTCTTTCGTTCTTCCTTTTATTATAATGTCCTCAATTTTAGCAAGGCATGAGGTGCCCAGCTAGAGATTTACTCTCCTATTCTCTTTTACAACTTGGTGTGGCCATTTGACAAATTATTGCCAGTGGAGTACAAGCAGAAGTTATGTGATCCCCACATAACTTAAAAGGAAACTGCTCTCTACTTCTGTCTCTTACTTCCTATGGACTGGAATGTGGATGTGATGGTGAGTCAGCTTTGGCCATGCAGATGAGAGCAAGCCCTGGGAGGAAGGAAGAACCACCTTGTCCTGGATAATGTTGTGCCACAGAGTCTCCTACTCACTCTAGGCTGCCCTCCTACCTCTTTACTCTCATGTGAGGGAGAAAGAAACTATCTTGTTGAACTACTATGTTTAGGGGGGGCTCTTCTTGAGAGCAGCTTAACTTGAATCCTATTGCTTAAAGTTTATTCATTTATATTCAACAGACAATCCTTTTCCTTTCCATGTGGAAGATTTTTCTAGCAGTTTTTGAACAAGGTTGGGAAGTGGCAGAGTAAGTTTTGGGGAAAAAGAAAGTATTGTACCATGGGATCTTAGAAGTTTGGTTTTCTCACTGGGAGAAGATGGCACATTGATATTTTCTTTTCCAGGGACATAATTCCATTCCCATTAATAGACATTTATTGAGGGTCTACTGTGTGCAAAACACTATAGAAGTCCCTAGGGATACAGAGATGAACAGACATGGTTCCTGCCCTCAAGGAGCTCACAGTCTATTAGGGCAGACAGCAGAAATACATAAACAATGCACTATAAAATAGGGTGCATATAGTAATAGTGATAGAAATGGGGTTCTATGGAAGCATAGAGCTGGGAGAGAGGGTTTTCATAGTGATAGAGAAGGAAGAAGGATCTCGGAAAGACTTTACAGAGGAGATTGCATTTGTGCTGCAAGATTGCTTGAAGAGCTGGTAGAAGAAGAAGGGAAAGCCGTGGGGTCATTTTTCTGAAGCTGTGGGAGCTACTGTTAGGGGAGCTCAGAAAACCCAGAAAATAACCAGACTTTTCTGGAGTATGAGGTGGGTGAGAAAAAGTAGTGAGTCACAACCCTGGAAAGGTAGTTAAAGTCACATAGTGAAGGAGCCTTGAATATTATACTAAGGAATCTTCATTTTAAACTGATAGAGAAATAGCAGAGGATTATGAATACTGTAATTAAAACCTGTGGTATGCTTGAGGATAGTGATTCTCAAATCAGAATCTCCTAGAGGGTGTATTAAACAGAAATTTTGCTCTCCAAATTTGTGATTCATTATGTCTTTGGCCCTGGACATTGCATTTTTCACAACTTCCCGGGTGATGCAAATGTTCCCGGTCGGGAGCTGCCACTCTGAAAACCACTGTTCTAGAAGATGTATCTGATAGATGTGCAGGTGTGTGGGGGCGGAGTTGCAGGCGAAGGACTCCAGAGGAAGTTGGACCAGATAAGAAGACTTGGAATAGATGAGGGGACCAACTTATTGGAGAAGAAGGGGGCATATTTCTGTAGAGGTAAATGGAGAAGACTTTAAGACTATCTGAATGTTACAGACAAGTCTTGAAGAGAGAGGATCACATTTATCTAGTAGGGATGATAAGAAGGAAGGTAATCCTGTTATCTGAAACTGGGAAGGTGGAAGGAGGAGAAGGTGTGCGTGTGGGAAAATGATCATGAGTTCAGTATGGAAAAACTGTGTTTGAGGAATGAACAGGTTAGTCATAGGGAGGTGTTCACTGGAGGTAATTAATGGGTCTGGAATTTGAGAAAGACAAATCTGAACTAAAGACAAAAATTGAAAAGCCACAGGCATGTGATGGGATGGGACAGAGTCTGGAGATACAAGAAGTAAGAGCTGAGGACAATGCCCCAGGAGGAAGAAAAGGAGACAAAGAATGAGGAGGTAGTTGGAGAAGCAGGGGAGTACTGTATTTTGTATTTTGGAAGTCATGGGCTTAACGAGAAAGGGAGGTTTAGCTATTTTAATTGATGAGAGATTGGAAAGTAGATAAGGACAGAGGGAAGGCCATTATATTTGCTTACTGGCAACTCACCAAAGACCTCTGGGAGTTCTGTTTCAAGAGAACTAGGAGGGACAGACTCACATGGCACAGGATAGGAAAGTCAGTGGAAGGTGAGAGGTGAGCAGAACGAAGGATTGATGAGTGGAGAATCTCAGGTGGGAGAGCCAGGAGACAGACGAAGCAGGCTCTTGAGTGGGAAGTAGGAGTAGAAGAAATGTACACCAGTGTTCAAGATACTTGAGCAAACTGGTAAGTGAGATTAAAGAAGAGAGGAGGGGGATGGGAGAAAGGGAGGGGAGAAGGGAGGAAGAGAGAGAGGGTAAAGAAAGAAGGGGGGTGGCACCTGGGTGGCTCAGTGGGTTAAGCCTCTGCCTTCGGCTCAGGTCATGATCTCAGGGTCCTGGGATCGAGCCCCACATTGAGCTCTCTGCTCAGCAGGGAGGCTGCATCCCCCCCCGCCGCCTGCCTCTCTGCCTACTTGTGATTTCTCTCTGTCAAATAAATAAAAATAAAATCTTAAAAAAAAAAGAGAGAGAGGAGGGGTGTAGTAGGGAAGAGGAGTCAGGGGTAAGGAGAAATGTGCAAGATTACAGAAAAGATTAGAGGGTGTAGATTTTAGGCTAAAATATGGAGGTGGAGAGGGAGCAAATTCATGTCTTCTCAGTGAACAAAGAAGAGAGATGACCTGTGGAGAGTGAAGAGATGGGGAGAAGCTGTGGTTGAGATGAGAAGAGGTATAAAATAGTCACTGACTTGAGAGTGTACGCAAATTTGCAAACTTTCATTTCTGTCTGTCATCACTCTTGACTGTGGTAAGCTCCTCCCCATGACTAGAGCAGGCACCCCAGGTCAGGCAGGCGCTGTGGCCTTAGGTCAGGTTCCTTCTGCATCTGCATCTCCTGGCCACAAGGTGCAGTCTGGCATGGAAGCCACTGAGATCCCAGGGGATATAATTTCATGCTTGTTTAGTCTATGGGTGACCTTTGCGCTAAACATAGATTTTCAACTTTTAATGGTTTTTCTAAGTGCACAACTGATAATGAGTAACATTCTCTAACAAAGTTCTTCAGATAATATATTCCTTCATTTGATTACTCCACCCTGTGAAGCTGCTTGTACTCCCACCCAAATCCTGCCAGAGTCAGGGAGAGTGTGTAAGGCTCAGTGGGACTCTTCTCAGAATGTGAGGAGGTCCAATGTTCCTGTCAGGTAATATAACAACACATTGAAGGAGATTTAGATTATCTTGTATTTGTTTTTGTTTCATTTTCATAGTTAAATACCTAGGAAAGTGCCAGAGTATTCATTCCAGGTTCTTTTTAGAGAATGAGGAAGCATATTTAATCATGAACTATAAAGGACACGTCAGCTGTACTATTTGTGCCTAAAAGGAGTGGGCTATGTAGTCACAGTAAATGACTTTAGCTCAGGTCTGCAAGCAGATGACAGTACACCACTCTTTTTTTTTTTTTTTTTTTAATTAATGCTTTAGGTAGTCATGCAGTTCCCTCTAAAATTTGCACGGATTTGGAGCCACAACCTCAGATTTAATGGTACAGGAGGGTAAGTTATTAGGAATTTGATTTATAAGTAATAAGAAATTCTGCAAATGGAGATTTATTTTGGCATTCTTTAATTGCAAGATTAACTGAAATGGCTAAAAAAAAGTAGTTACTATTTCACCTTATTATTATGTCTATGAAATTTCTGTCTTTATGGGATGTTTATTTGAAATCATGTACCACAAATAAAACCAGAGGTAGAAAACGGCACACCAGATAACAAACCTCGAACAAAACAGAACAAACAAACGAAAAGACAGCATTACCTTACAAACTTTTCTGAACCAACTATGTTCAAGAATTACTAAGCTGAACCCCTTTCCTCTGTCCACAAACAAGGCTGGTAAAAACAATGCCTTTTGGCTTTACGCAATCTACGCATGTTCTCGGCACTTAATTAGCTTTTTAAAAGCCAGTTTAAAGTCTTCATTAAAACTTGTGTAGAGCAGAGGGTTGATCAGAGAATTAACATAACCAAGCCACGTTAAAAAATCAGCCACTTCAGAGGACACTGTGTAGATACTCAGACCCACGATCAACTCTTTGATGAAAAATGGAAGCCACGACAAAATGAATGCCCCCAAAATCAGTCCTAGGATGCGTGCTGCCTTGCGTTCCCTGGTACTAGAGATCTGTTGACGTTCTCCTGGGTGATCTAGATCATTATCGAAGGAAGGGATCCTGATAGAGTTGTGGATCTTTTCAAACTCGGTGGTAGGGTCTGAGGTGGAGAAATCAGACACACAGAAAGTCTGTGTAAGTTTACAACTTGCGAAAGAATTTTGGCTATCTGTGCTTCTGTTGCTTAAGTGCCGGCTTGATCCTCTTTTCTGGTAAAGGCTCTTGGCTGCGTGGTAGATCCGGTAATACAGAATAAGTATCAAAGTCAAGGGGATATAAAATGCTCCAAGCGTGGAGTAAATGGTGTAGATGACATGGTCATGCTGGATGGTGCACTCACTAGGAGGTGGGCTGAGTTGGCGGTGGCTTCTCCAGAACAGGGGGGGCATGGAGATGAAGATGGAGATAGTCCAGACGGTGAGGATCATCAGCACAGCCCTCTTGGCGGTCCTCTTCCTGGCATATTCAATAGCATTGGTGATGGCCCAGTACCTGTCTAGGGCAATCACACAGAGATGGAGGATGGAGCAGGTGCAGCAGGTCATGTCCACACTTAGCCACACCTCACAGATGAAGTACCCTAACTTCCAGCTGTCCATGACAATGTACATGATGCTCAGTGGCATGACGAGAACTGCCACCAGGAGATCCGTCACAGCCAGGGAACAGATCAGGTAGTTGGCAGGCTGGTGGAGCTTCTTGGTGGTACAGATGGCCATGATCACTGCCAAGTTCAGTAACATGGTCAGGGTGGTGATGATCACCAGAGTCATGGAGATGAACATCTTTTCAGTGATGGTCTTGGGTCTCGCAGCCACACTGGCTTCTGCGGTACAGTTAGTGATATTCATGTTTTCCCTGTTTCAATCTACACTGTGGAGAAGCTGTTGGTTATTTTCCTTCAGCTGGAAATTACTTAGACTTCAATGCCTCTCATTTATAAGAAGACTGTAGTTTCTTCAGCTATGTAGTTTCTTATGTTCCATTTTGTATGGGTAAAAGGAAGCACCACATCATTTCTTCTGAGGGTTCCTGGAAGATAGTATGCTACTGGTTAATGAATGAAAAAATCATATTTTTCCCCCTGGAAAATGTTATTGTATTTCAGTACTCATAAATTCTTTACACATTTTTGATATAATTTTCTTTTTATCTCTGGGTATAAAGTTTACCTTTACATTATTCTTCAAAAGATACTTTTTTAAAAGATTGATGTATAGTTGACACACAATATACATAATTTCAGGTATACAACATAGTGATTCACAAATCTAATCCTTATGCTGTGCTAACCACAAATGTAGCTACCAAAAAGATACTTTTTAAAAAGTTAAGTTCCCAAACTCTCATGAAGACATTATCAACTTTTAAGTCTATCTTGCCACCTGAATTACTTTCTTATTTATATTCATTAATGTATATATGCACTTAAACATAAAGTTTTTTTTTTATTTGGAAACATATATTCACCTTGCATCATACTTTAAAATTCTTTAAAATTCTGGGACATTATAGAAAAAAATTATATTGTTTATAATAAGCAGACTTCAAAGCAGTTTTAAAGTTTCATAGCAAATGCTCAACTCCATCGTGAAATTGTGTGACTTTTGTCTATTTCTGACATTTTACTTACACCACTGTGCATGTCTTTGGAGAAAAGAGAGGAAAAAAAGCATATAACATTACTTTGATGTTTATGGCAAATTGTTCTCAGAGTAATACCGTAAACTGACAGTGAAACAGCATCATCACCAAGGTCAAAGAATTCCACATTAAAAAAAAAATGTCTTTAGTTTTGGTTAACATTTGTGTTCTTTCAATTTCTATCTATCATCTATCTATCTACCCATCTATCATCTATCTATCTATCATCTATCTATCTATCATCTATCTGTCTATCTATTATCTATCTATCATCTCTCTATCTATCTATCTATCATATATCTATCTCTATCATTTCTCTCTCTCTATCTATCTACCATCTATGATCTGTCTCCTGGATAGCTGTGATTAAATTGGGCAATCAGTGAGATAGTGACATTTATTGAATGCATAGTTGTAAGGAATTTAAAAAAAAGGTACAACAGTCCCCCTTATCTGTAGTTTTGCTTTCCACACTTTCGGTTACCTTGGTCTTCAAGCCGATGATCCTCTCTGATGAATCCGCAGAAAGTCAATAGTGGCCTATTGCTATGTCACAAACCTGCATCACTCACCGTACTTTGCCTCATCACGTAGGCATTTTATCCTCTCACATCATCACAAGAAAGGTGAGTACAGTAAGATAATTTGAGAGACTCCATTCACATAATGTTTATTATGGTATACTGTGTGTTTTTTAGAGACTTTATTTATTTATTTATTTATTTGAGAGAGAGAAAGCAAGAGACAGAGCATGAGTGGGTGAGGGACGGGCAGAACGAGAGGCAGAAGCAGACTTCCCTGGGATCATGACCAGAACGGAAGGCAGACGCTTAACTGACTGAGCCATCCAGTCACCCCTAGAGTATATTGTTATAATTGTTCTATTTTTTATTAGTTATTGTTGTTAATCTTTTTGTTGTACCTAACTGATAAACTTTGTCATAGGTTTGTAAATATGGGAAAAGACATAGTACATACAGGGTTCAGTACTATCTGTGGTTTCAGGTATTCGGTCTTGGAATGCATCTTCTGCAGGTAAGGGGGGACTACTGTAAGCTCATGAAAACAACATGATCAAAATCCACATGGGAATATTCACAGCCAATGGCTGTTTGTCAGAACATTGATCAAATCCTCTGATTTGTCTCTGTGGGATTAGGTCCGGGATAACTTCAAAGACAACTCAATGGCCATTTTGGCAGTTATAAGAGGGGACATAGATTGATGTGGATTAGGCTTAACAGACCTTCTCTAATGAGGGCAGGAGCAGGTGAGGCATGTATGAAATGGAGAATGGATTGGATGAGAGTCCTTGGGTAGACTGGGGACTGGAAACCAGGCAGGTAGGAATAAAAATCTCCAGCCAGGCTGAGAGCTATCTAGCTCTGGATTTAGTTTCTTCTGCCTACTGGGCAAAAATCAAGAAGACTGGGGGATGGTTACCATTTATTCTTTAGATATAGAAAGTAAAAGAAAATGATTTCACTAAAGACAAAAAATGGGGCAATTGTTTTTAAAACAGTCTTTATCTTTCTGCAATGAAATAAGAATCATTCTGCCTCTCTGTTTTCATTATGCTTTTATAGCATTTCTGTAGATGTACCTTCTTGAAATTCATGTTTCCCTACTTCTTCTATGGGTTTTGCTCCACCAACAGTACATTCTTTCTTGTAAATTAAATGTTTCCTTCTCTCCTGGATATTTTCCCTTCTTTTCTAGTCACTTTAAACTTGCATTTATATCTGAGACAGGCTGTAACATTGAACGTGTATGGGCTTTGGAATCAGAGACCTGGGTTGCACCTGAGCCATCTATTAGCTTGGACAAACTCTCTATATTTCTCCCTGTGGCCAACATGTGTATTTCTCTATTTTGACCCCCTTCTCCTTAATTACATGAAATCCTACAAACATTAATCCTAAGTTATGTTTTTCTTGGGTCCATGAGGTTTGTTGGAAGAGTAGTTTTGTTTTGTTTTAAAAGTAGGCTCCATGCTCAGCGTGGAGCCCAATGTGGAGCCCAATGCAGGGCTGGAACTCCAGATAAAACCTGAGCTGAGATCAAGAGTCAGATGAGCTACCCAGGCACCCCAGAAAACTAGTTCTAAACAAAAAAAGCTTTTCCACTCTGATTGGAAGAATCAGATTCTTCTACTCTTCAATCTTCTCAGATTGAGAATATAGAGAGTAGCCTGGGTAAGAGACAGAAAACTTTAGAAGTTTTAGTTTGATAATAAAAACAACTAGGAAATGCTATTTTAAAAACAAGAAGTTGAAAAAAAAAATCAAATAATTCAGCTTCATCAAGCTTTTAAAAGCTGCTCTTTTTCTGAGCTCCCATATATCCTAGTTCTTATTTCTCTGGTGACACCATCTTCTTCCTTATTTTGTACCTATTTATTTTTCATTCCTCTCCCTCCCCTCCACACTACCCCCCAGCTAACTACATATTTCTGGAGGTTGGGATGTATGTCTGAGTCCTCTTTTTAACTGTCTCCTGGTAAATTAGCAAAAACATTACTGGTTGGGGCTACATTGTCAGTCCTTTAATGTGACTTTCTGGTTTATTTCATGCCTCAGCCTTTCAGAATAGGAGTTAAGTTTTATATCCCGGTGTTGCCAGTCCCTTGAAATTCCTGCATGCATCCAGCTTGCCATCTTTTAGCTTGAAGTGTGTTCCATAACACCATGTAGAACATAATCTTTTGAATAGCTGGATGGGATGAACTGGAGAGCAATTATGGATTGAACTAGTCTGAGAACTGGGTCCTGAAACTCTTCACTAATAAAGGATCAAAAAGCAAAAGAAGAACCAGGAAGGCAGAAGAGAACAGCTATTCAGGTAGAGGAGAATGATGAGAGATAATTCCGTTCCAAGACCGGATGAAAACAGTATATGAAATAAGAGTGATCAGCTATGTAAGTACTGCTGACAGGCAGTGGGCGATGAGGACTTGACCATTGGTCTGGGTGATGTGGATGACACCAATGACCTTCACAAGACCCGTTTGGTGCTGTGGTAGAGATTGAAGGCTGAATGTGGTGGTTCAAGAAAGAATGAGAAGAAAGGAAATAGAGACATTGAATAAAAACAAGTATTGAAAGCATTTTGCTGAAAAGGGGAGCAGAGAAATAAGGTAGCTGTGGAGGGAGATGTGGGATCAAGGTTGTTTTCTTTTTAGGATGAGAGATTGTCTTTTTAGATTGGACTATTTGCAGTTTTCTTTACTGCTATACTGTGTATTCTTTTTATTGGTACCCAGAGCATTTCTGGAGTGAGTGAAATGTAAAAGAGGAAGCAGGAAAGCAATAATGGAAGAAGCTGGAAGTCCATGGGGCTGGGGGCAGCAGGGAAGTAGAATTCTTTGATCAATTTAAGGGATTATACTAGGGACTGTGAAGCAAACAAAGATGCAGCCATACTCAGGAAATGATCCCCACTCCAATTATCTTGGGTTCCTTTATCTTCTTAAGAAAATAACGGCATGGATTTATAATCACCACCAACTCCTTAGGAGGCAGTATGATGTCTAATTAGAACAGTGCTAGTTAAGCAGCACCTGAAAATTTAAGTATCTTTAGCTTTTTGCATTGTAGGGGAGGAGGAACTGTAACACTTAACTCAAAACATCTTCTGCAAAACTAGTCCAAACACCAATATCAATACACCAAACTTCCACTAGTCCATTGGAATGCAAAATTAACTGCAATAATCATAGCTAAAAATGGACATATCCCATGAGGAGTTAATGTAGGTCCTTCTTTGGGGTTTTGTAACTTTTAGTTTCTGCTCTGATTATGACATGGAAAATACTAGTGCAGTCAAAAGCTATACTTATTTTTATTTTTATTTTTTTATTTTATTTATTTATTTAAATTTATTTTCAGCATAACAGTATTCATTGTTTTTGCACCACACCCAGTGCTCCATGCAAAAGCTATATTTAAATGGTTTTTCATTGAAATCACAAACAGGAGAGAATCACTATAAATCAAATGGGTCAATGTATGCTGCTCTCATTTACTGAGATGCTTCAGAATTTCTGATTTGTACTACCCCAGTGACAGAATGCCAGGGACAAGAGGTCATGAGTACACTCATTTTTAATTTCACCATCTTATCTAGTCTTTCATTGGTTTTCAATAATTATTGTTAATTTATCAGAAATATCCTTTCATCTCTTCTTTGGCTACTTCCATTTTGCCTAAATTTCTTCAAATAATTGTAAAATTCTTTAATATAGGATCTAAGAAATAAAACAAAACCACACTCATAAATCTCATAAATACAGAGAACAAACTGGTGGTTGCCAGAGGGAAGACTGGGAGGATGGATGAAATAGGTGAAGGGGATTAAGAGATACAAACTTCCAGTAATAATATAAATAA